AAATATCAGGTCACACATCACAGAATCATAAAATCATAGAGTCATTAAGGTTGGAAAAGACCACGTAGATCATCTAGCCCAACAGTCAAACCACCATCAACATGCCCTCCATCTGACCCACATCTCTCTGTGCCAGGAGAGCTTGCCTCCTCCACCCATAAACAGCACCATATCCCATTTCTTTTGCAGCCACAGAAGCAGCTGATGTTTGTCTACCTGACTGGGAGCAAAGAGTGAGTGTGAACAGACTACCCAGCTGTCTGGAAGCATTTCTGATTAAATAGTCATTGCGCTCCCCATTCTTCCACAGGAGAACACTTGGGCATGGCTGAAGATGTTGGGCAGACTGAGTTCTACCGCCCATCTGCAAGGGACTATCTGTAACAGCCTTACTCCAACAAAAATGGTCTTGAATAAGTATGTGCAAATGATCTTTAATTACAGGAACACAGCAATATTTTTTTAGCTATACCCACATATATTTTAAAATAATATAATCAATGACACCATTTGAAGATGACATTTTGTATTTGAATTCCACCTTCCCATATTTTAACTACCACCTCAAAAAAAATGGTGAAGTTGAATAAATTCTTCTATATACTCAGTTATATTTTCAGCTTTTTCATGAAGACTTATAAATGCCTCAGCCTTTTAGCTAGTTATTTTTGAACGATACTGGTCTTTTATCACCTATTTGATTTCCCAAGGGAAAAAATGTTTTGAACATTGTAATGTGTAAAATTTATTTATAAACATATGGAGGGCAATTTTATCTTTATTTAGAATAGAAAAATGATTATTTGTGCATAAAAACACATGCTTTTTTAGTGAAGATAATACAGAAAAAAATTAGTTGATTATTTTCTTAGATTATGCTATTTATAGCCTGCAATTTGTTACTTGTCTTTTTCTAATTCATGGTAACTGATTTCAATAAATTAATTACTAAGGCAGATAACACAGATAATTTCATTGAAACTAGTTAAAATCTTTTCTTATAATTTTATCTAAATTACTTTACAGATTAAAAATATACGTCAATGAGATGCAAACCAGTTATAGACTGGCATAAATAACAGCAGTACTGAAGATGATGTACAGGCTGCATGCAAGATTTTGGATTAGGGAAAGTTTAACTCTGTAGCTTCCTTGAGGCTCTCTGCTGTATAGTTTCAATGTAGATGGGTCTAAATTCTCCAAGCTTTGAGATGATTTGAAAATCTTAGAATTTCAAAGTAAAATTCACATAGAATTCATAGAATTGCTAATATCCTGTTTACATGTGAAACAAGTGATTTAAATCTGCAAGTATGAGTATATTTAGTTCCATCCTGGACAAGCCCCCATGTCTCTTTTTGGGTCTATGTGAGTTTCAAATGGACTGTCATGAGCTCTCCAGAAACAAATCATGGCAGTGGAGGAATGTTGTGGAATATAGCTGCAGCTTTTTTAGCTACCCACAGCCTGTAATGGCTATTTTGGTTTCCATCATTTCCCTAGTCAGATTTTTCAGATTACAAGCCATGGTGACAAATGACACATTATTTTATATAAGTGTGCCAAATACTGGTAAAACAAGCTTGAATTTTATTTTAGTCTAGATGTGGGGAAACAAGAAAGTACATAAACTTTTCTGGACTCAGTTGTGTGGATTGTTACAAGTCTGTGAACATAAATGAAAAATAATAGAAGGTCATCAGAAAATGGGCATTTATATTTCAGTATTGGAAGCAGCAAGAGTTAGATGCTCATAGATGACTTTGTGACCTTATTATTATCCAACCTGCAATACCTGCTGTGAGAGTTACATCTGCATTTCTGCTTGCTCTTTTTCAAAAGGGAGTATTGAAAAGAAATTAATTCTGTTCTGATAGAGTCCACAAAAACCCCATCAGTACTGAGAGTTTAACTTCCTTTGGTTTGATATTCTGCTTAAGAAGGTCAGTTCACAGACTGATCATGTCCTTCTATTATTTTCACAGGAACAAGATTTGTTATTATCTAAGAACTAAAAATACATCTTTGTAATTCTAAAAGAGCATTTGTCAATGAAGATCAACCATGCCTTATTTTATGCCTTTATTTGCAGACTAGTGTATTTGATATTGCTGATGACTTCAAATTAGCAATGAACTAGGCTCTGTCAAGGAAAGAATAGGTAACCGTGATGTTCAGATATGCTGGGACCTGCTACGTGAGTGAAAGCAAACTGCTGCAGTGATTTTGGATACAAAGGCCTCCCATCACTCTTCAAATCATCTACAACATCTTTTCATATATGTTCATCTTAATTTTCCATTAGTAGAGTAGTTTTTCCCCCTGCACTTTTTCAAAAGTCTTAGTTTTCACCTCTTTGAATTTCAGATCTTCCCCAGTAAGGTGCTGATGGCCATATACACCAGTGCTGATTGGAAAATGTAAGAATTACCACCTACAATCAAAGTGTAGTATACTTTAGCTAGGGAAAAAAAAAAGATTGGGTGCTGTAATAATGTTGCTAAATGAAAAGAGGACAAATGATCTCTCGTAGATAGTCTATATAATTTAAAGGAGGATATAATTTGCTTTCTTGTTGGGTGACATTCTTACTTCCATTCCCTCTTTTTTTTTTTTTTTTTTTTTTTTAAACAGCTTCGTTTATCTGGCTTCAAATTTTGACCACCCTCCTCTCAGCTTCATGCTTAACCCCCACTCCATCTTTTAACACCGTTTCTCTTTTGTCACTCCATCCATGTTAGGAACTTGAGTGCTGTCAGTTTGCTCATGCTGCAGAATCTACCACAGATGGCAGCCCACTACCAGCTTGTTATCCAACATTTCTTAATGAAAATCACCCAGATGACACAAAAGCAATTCTGGCTCACCCACTCTGATTTTTAATGTTCAATCATGCTCTTGTCCTGAAATATGCTTTCTGCTGATGTAAGTATTCTGCCTTGTGTTTGCACTGCCTGAAGCAACAATGCAATACAAACCTAACTTTTTAATCTTGTGTAAAACTGACAGCCACACATATTTCATACAATCACGTGCCATCAGCTTTACAATGATTAAAAAATGCCCACTGTTCATGTGGTTTGTTAGAGTTCATCTTTAGCACATACCAACTGCAAAAAGTTATAACTGGCACATATGCGCTCTAATAAACATAGGAAGAATTTGAAAGATCTTGGCAATGACAATTTTAACACCGTTCTCTTGTAAAAATGGATCTTTCTTGCTTACAAAGACTATCTTACTCTCCATTGTGACATAGACAAGAGATGGGTCTTCAGGAAGAAGGAATTGGAAACTGAGCGTGGGACTGGTTCTATTAGTTAACACTCACTTGGCTTAAGCACTGTGCTGTTCTGATCATCTCCACAGTGTGTGAGCAGAGGGTTACAGTTCTGCTTCTGTGTTTGGCATGGAAGAGTTTTCAATCAATTACATTTCAGTTATTTCAATTCTAAGACATGTGTTTAAATTATCCCAGCTCTAATATATGTATTGTTGTAGTCATTTCTTTCCAGTCTTGTCAGGAGAACTGTCAGTTCACACCACTCAATCTTTCAGCAGAGCCACAGTAGGGCAGATAACTTGGTTGGCTCGTAGCTATCAAGAACTCTGTTAACATCAATCAGTATTAAGAAAGAGGAAAAATAAGGATCTGTATCTCTAGATGAGAACTGAAGTACAAATCTGTTCAATTAGGCATGAAACCTATCACTGCATATTCTCATGCATTTATCAAGTCAGCACTTAACTACATTCTTCAGAGCAACTCTATTATCTGCATGTATCCTGCACGAAGCTTTTAAAATCCTTTTCCCCCTCAATGGCTCACTGCACTTTATTGAAGTTAATATTTATAAAAGCGATTCATAAGGAACACAAACATTTTTATTCGCACCAGCTCTGTGCAAAAAGACCACCACAGGATTCCTAAAGGAATTACTTTTGATTCCACAGTGCCTAAGAAACAAGCTGAGTCGAAAAGGGCGAGCAGATCAGCTGCGGGAAAACTACGCTTAAGCTCTGTTTACCCGGCTTCAAATTTTGACCACCCTCCTCTCGGCTACAGCTCAACACGTGGACGCGGATATGGCCACAGCTACCCTCACCACCCCGCCTGGCAGAGACCCCCGACGGCCGCCTAGGCTCCAAACCGCGGAGGGGCGGCGCCGCGATTCCTCCCCCGCGCCCGCAGCCAGCACGCAGAGGCAGCTTCCCCCGGGTTCCGTGTCTCTCTCCCAGGGTTTATTTGTGCCGCCTCCGCCCCGGGAGCGTGTGCGGCAGCCGCCCCGCGTTGAGCTCTATGCGGGGGCCGTGAGGCAGAGGCTGACTCCGGTGAGCGGGGATGTCGCCGGGCCGACTGCGACTCTGTGAGATTCATAAACCCAGCACAACACTGAGATGGGGATCGATGTGTTTTCTCTCCGGCAAGCGGGCGCTCTGTACCCGCTTAGGAGAAACTGCACGGGAAGTTTGAAGCGGGCAGGAGGGAGGTGGGCAGCACCCTCTCTCCGAGCACTGCGCGCGACTTCCACGCGTCCCGGCAGCTCCAGCTCTACCAGGGGGGCCGGCCCGGGGGAGGGCCGCGCGTCACAGAGGTGGGGCGGCGTCACAAAGCGCCCCGGGAGCTGCGGGCGGGGGTCCCGGGCGGGGCCGGCATCGCCGCGGCGGGCTGCGGCCGCGGTGGCGGCGGCGCGCCGCCTCGCCTCTCCTCGCCTCGCCTGGCCGCTCGCCGCCGCGGAGGGGCGGCGCTGCCTCCCTGCACTCCCCCGCCCGGCGCCCCCGCTCCGTCTCCGGGAAGGGCGCGGGGAGCCCCTCGTTGCCCCTCGGCTCGGCGGCGGAGTTGGAGCCGGCGGCGGCAGCTCGGTGCGATGCCGTGTTAGCCCCCGAGGGAGCGCCGGAGGGAAGGGGCGCGAGTGGCCGGGGCTGCGGCTGGCACCATGGGCACCGGGCTCGGGGGCGAGGCGGACGGGCTCTCTGCGCACTCCGAGTGAGCCCGGAGATGTGCCGGCGCCCGGGGGAAATATTTTGGAAATAGCACGGAGCGGTCCGAGGAGGACGAGCGGCGGCACCCCGTTTCACCAGCTGAGAGGAGGTCGCCCGGCGGTCGTGTACAGGCAAGTAAGCGCTCCTTTTCTTTCTTTGATGTTTGTATTTTATTTGCTTATTTATTTATTTTCCCTGGCTTTTCCCTGCGCCTCGAGTGACTGCTTCTTGCAGCTGTTGGTTGCCTGCGCCGGGTTTGGAGTTCAGTCTCTCGGCGGGTAGGTGCGGGCTGGGCTGGGCTGCAGGGGAGCGCGGTCCCGCATCCCAACGGTACGCGCTGCGCAGTGGCACTGGGGGAGAACTGCGTGCGGGGTGCCCGCGTGTAGCTGCAACAAATGGTGACTTACAGGAATTGGTGTGAAATGTCTTTTTCTTTGTGCTGGGCTGTAACTCTATTGTAGGAGACTCTTAATTGTTTTCTGGCAACAGCAGGGCTGCGTACGAGCATTTCAGATCCTGCCAGGGTTTAAGCTAGTGAAGCTGGAGTTTTGATTTTGATGCCTTTAACTTTCTGGTGTCCTACCTGGAGATTTCCTTTGAGGTGCTTTTGCTGTGAGGTATGGTTTACTCGATCTTGTTTGTTTGTTTGCTTTTACCTGTGGCTACCTATTATCATACTTGGCAATGCCATGAAACAGAAAGTTGACCGTGACGTGCTCAGGATGCAGGACGTGGGCAGCAGGCAGGAGGCTGATTCTGCCCCTGAGGAACTCCACAGGAACAGGCCCATGAGTATATAATCTCCTGCTAAAACCTCAAAGAGCTCTGAACAGACCTGTCACGCTGCAGAGGATGAACCCTCCTGTTCACCGTTCAGCACAGATAGTGTATAAGCTAACAGCCTGCATTCCCCTGTCTACAAAGCACCTGCCTCTGAAATGCAGGGTCTAGAGACATGTTTTCTATGCCAGTTTGGGAGCACACAGAACTTCAGACTGTGTTTAATTAAGTTTGCTGCTATTGATTTTCTTAGCATCTTCTTTCTGAGCCTGAAAACTACAATCGTGTACAGTGACCTTGATGTATGTTGTGTTCGAACATGGGAGCATCGCAGAATAAAAGCAGTTACAGAGATTTATAGTTCAGCTCTGACACTTCACTAAGAGCTCTGGCAGCGCCAAGTTGAAGACGGTAGAGAGGCACTGGGCATGGTGTGTGTACAGGCTCGGGGAAATAGCTCACTTACAGGGATGAAAGTATAAGTTACAGTCTTGGAAGCTCGTGCAGAAATGTCAGCATGGGTGAACATCTGAGGAGTCTGGGATATTTCTTTTTCTAATGAGGGAGACCTCTCGCAAAAGATGTTTGGGGACAATCTCTGAGCTCTTCAGGTTAAGGCACGTTGATTTGCTGACAGGAACAGATCTTTTAATGGGCTACAACAGATGTTTTTACATAGATGCGATGCTAACTGCATTAAAAGCTGTTGACTTGCCAGTACTGTGGACACGTAACTAACTCAAGTTTATAGCAGAAAGATAAAGTAAGCCTTTCCTGTAACAGTGGATGGAGCTCCCTGTGGATAAGCAGGCAAAGGGGAATGTCATTTGTTTCAGTGCAGTTTCAGGAGAGCTTTCCTGTGGTTTGTATTTCTGACTGCCTGAAGGTACTATGAAACACAATTAGAATAACTATTGAAAAATATTGGGACACGAATCAATCCATTACTTTAAACAGCTTCTGTGTCATATCAACAGAGTACAATTTTAAACAAAGTGCATCTCTGGTTTTGCTGTAGCAATTCCTTCCTCTGTTGCAGAGTGGCAGGCTTTCACTAAGCATGTGCAAGGGAGATCATGAAACAGTGAAGCATGCACTGATCTGAACTAATTTGGGCTATGTATTACAGTGATGATTTACACAATTAATACAATTAACTGCTTATAGTTGATTCTATAAATAAATGGGTTTTAAAAATAGTGTCAGCTTTGCCACTTCTGATGCAAATTACGGAACTTTTATTTTCTTTTTGGTTTTTCAAATTAATCAAACGCTGTACTCGCTCTTTGCCTCAAGAGAAAGAAAACATAATTTAATGATGTATCATTTGGCTTTTGCAGTATCTTGTCCAATAGCTATGAGATAATCTAATGAAGGTCCTCGTCACTGAATTAAAGAACATGCTGCTCTAGACTTTCATTTATAGAGAAATTATTATTCTGTTACATGGCCAAAGAACCAAGTTTTCACAGAATCTAGTACAAAAAAGAAACCTTTCTTTTTCTGTTAGGAACTTGAAAGGGGGAAGGTAAGACACGAGGTCTTTAAGGATAAAATTACAAAGCAATGACTTCTAAGATACTGATCAAAACCCTTTATCTTCAGATATTTTCTTTATCTTTGATTTGAAACTTTTCCACATACTTGTAGTTAAGTTTAAATTGTGTAGTTCTTAATTTTAAAAACTAGAGAATGTCTGTTGTACCATTTACTGTAATGCTATTCAAGCATTCTCTCTAATGTGCTGTATCACAGTTTGCTTGTACCTTTTTCAATTAGAGACTTCCAAAGTACAGCACATTCAACTTTATGGCAGGCATTTTTATTTTAATACTATGCAAATCCTTTTAATAGAGAAGGTATTGACTTGATTCAGAGATTTCAGGGTAAGATACTACATTTCTTTCCTGATTTTTTTTTTTTTTTTTTTTAATTTTTTTTCCCCCTGTATTTGCTCAGAGGTGCTGTTTGGCTTGTCAGGCATAACTTGCATCAACTGACAGAAAGCCCTGTAAGCAAAATTAAACATTATCAACAGTTCAATAAGGTTTTGCTTGTCAGTCCAACCCAGATGAGTATGTTATTTCAATCTTAAATCAAACATATATATATATATGTATATATTCATAAAACAACTGTAGTCTGTTCTGAGTTCTTCACTCTGGATTTCTCAGATAAGCACCATTTTTTCATGCTTGTAACTTAGCACTGGTCCTTGTGCCTGAGCCACCACAAACGTTGCCAGTATTCCTTACCAGTAGTCATTGCCAGCTTTGCTTGCATGCATTGTTAAAAAGGTAAGGAGTTGTAGCAAAAAATAAGTGTCAGATGGGTTTAGCATGCAGTCTTTCATGGCCCTTCTCATGGCTGTGCTTTCAGTTCAGGTTTCCAGCATGAGAATTGAATGTGGGTGGGTTGAATCCCAATTTAAGTCTGCTGCATCAACATGTTCCTCTGACAGGCTGCTGTGACATTGGCTCAGCATGACAACGCAGCTAACCTTCTGTATTTACCTTGAGTTTCACCTGCCACAACTGGAGAAGTCCCAAAGCCTTTTTGCCACTGAGGCTAACCTGATTTTTCTGTATTCCTGTCGCAGATCAGAAAGACAAAGCATACATTAAGGAAAAAAAAAAAATAGATTACACCTCAAATATACTGCTCTAATCTACACCAGGGAATGCAGTGGAGGTGCTGTTAGTGAAATTTGCACATGCAGTCATTTTCTAAAGGGAAACACCTGTCCATCTTCAGAGGCTGATGTAGCAGGTGATACACCTATTCATTATGAAGAAGAGGAGATACGTAATAGGGAAGCAAAGCTTTCCTTCATTGTGCACTTCTGATATGGTTGTTGCTGTCATTTGCAGTTGTGAGCTTTGTCTTCAGTAATTAGCTGAAGCTGGCCAAAAGGGGTGGCACAGAGATGTGTAATGAATCTAGAGGAGCAGGAGCTAAGGGCTGATTTTTTTCATGAGGACTTTCTCTCTTCAATTTATTAAAGTAAATATTTTTGCCCTCAGAATGGATTTGGATCTTCCCAGGTTGGAACAGGTGGATGAGGTAGAGCTCATCTCTGACACTGGTGCTTGCAGTATACTTTAGTGGCCACTGAAATTCTTGTGTGAGATGTGGTTGAGGTTAGGGCTGTGAAGGAGCTTACAGTTTCAATCACCATGTACTCAACTAATTGTTGTCAACTCACAATTTTGTGGGTAGTTATAATCTAGATCTAATCTCAAAATTACTGGATTTATTTATTTATTTATTTTCTTTGTCTTCTTTTTATATTTATTTATCTATTTATTTATTTTGCTATGATGTATTTGCTACTTGTTCTTAGGTTTGAGTGTTCCTTGCCGGATCTGATGAGAAGTAAGAATGGGAAAGTCATCGGCAACATTTGTTTCTCTTTCTGTCAGAGATTACAGAGATATTCAAATCATCCTGTACAAATGCTAGGGTCTTGTCCTGCCTTCTGATTCTTTCTTTAGTATAAATATCATTTTGATGTTTTTATTGAACTTAGTGTAAAATGCTCAGTGATTTCAACAGGACTAATACCACGTTCTTGGAACTGAACAGAGTTTGATATTCATCCATCATATAGCCATTATCACTTGCCTTACTAGATTCTTAATTGCATAATTGCTTCTGAAATTCTTTTTGTGAAATGCTTTGCTGTTTTGAAATATATCATCATTCAAAAATATGTGATAGCTTTTTCTAGTCATCTACGTGGCAAAATGTTTTGATTGACTATTTTAATAGTTGTGAATAATGAACTGTATGTTTCAGCTTCTGCTACACAAATGGAGATTGATTTTCTTGGCTTGCTTTTGACCTCTAAAGAAGTAAAGCAATTAGAATTATGTTTGCATCTCTTCTCTCTCCCTTATCATTTCATATATATTATAAACAGACTTTGAGAACTGATGTACATTAATCAGATTTTTTTTTTTTGAGTGAAAAAGGCTGTGAAAATCAATGGCCCTATGTTTGTGTTGCAGCTCCAGATTTCATCACACACAGCTGTCTGCCTGTATGCATTATCAGTTGATATCACAGCTGAATGTTCCTAAATGTGGCAGAATTCACAAAAAGCTCTTTGTACACCTGTTTTAACCAGTTATTAAGTGGCAAGTGTTTATGAGGCAATATATAGAGAGTCGATCAATGCACAGCACTTGTTGTCATGTAGTAAAATACATTCCAATGCATGCACAGAGCTCTTCACTGGGGATAGATTTATGAATAGCAATCAGTGTCAGGCCTATGGGTTTTAAAAACTGGAGTGTCCTCATTCTAATTCCTTATTTTTCTTTTTTTTTTTATGAAACAACTTTATGAACACA